TGCGCCCCTCCCGGGGGGCCCCGCGAGGCGCCCGGGCCTCGGGCAGGGGAGGGCGGGAGGCGCCGCTGCCATTAGAGCAGGCCCGAGACACGTCCCCGGAAGGAGGGCCGGGCAAGGGGCGGGGAGCGCGGCTCGAGGTGGGGGAGCGAGCGAGCGAGCGAGCGAGCGTGAAAGAATGCGGGAGAAGGTGCGTGCGTGTGCGGGCAGCATGTGTCCTTGTGGGGGCGAAGGTGTGGCGACAGCGAGTGGGGGCGAGGAGGAGAGTGGCGGGGGGGGGGGGGGGGGGGGGGGGGGCCGCGGAGCACAGGCGTCCTGGAGGCGAGGCCCCTTGGTCTTTGTGTTGATAGTGAACCTCCGTGTCCAGCCAGGGTCTCACCCACTCTGAAGCGTGCGTGGGAGCTGTGAGTTGCGGTCAAGTAAGAGAAAAGGGTTTGAGTCTCCCGTTTCCCCTCTGGTAAAAATGTTTGTAAATTTCTGGATTCCCAGGGATGTCTTTGCCGTCCTCCCCACCCCCATTTCCCAGAGCTATAACTAACCAAGCTTGGCTCTTGCCCAGGATCCTGAGTTTTTGCGAGTAGCGTATTGAGAAGCGTAAACTTTTTTTTTTTTTTTTAGTAGGTAAATGCTTCCTGTTCAGGTCAAGGATATTTAGTGAGGTAAACCGCAGGTTTCTTTTAGGCTATGTCTCTCTTAACCTTCTGCAGGAAAGCGCCTAAGAAGCAGTCATAGTGTAAATGTCGATAAAGAAGTGCCATAGTCGAGTTTCTGTCTTTGGATTTGTCACGAAATACAAAGTGACTAATCGTGTCGTTGTAGGCATTCAGCAGATGCGTCGCTGTAGCTGGATTAGAATGTGGTATCTACTTGTTTCCGCGCTCTGTACTGAGCTGTTTCAGACAGGAAGTGAGAGAAGTTAAGCCTTGTTAGTGTGCAAAAGGAAACTAAGGCTATAGATAGAAGAACACATTAGCAGGGCTTTGTTTTCTGATCCGGACATTTTTAGTTCGGGAGTGAATGATCCCAAGTGATTGTTAATGGGCTTTTCTCTATCTGGGGTTGAAGAAGGATTATTTTGTTTCATTTGTTTTATTTTGATAATTTTAGAAATTCCAAACAGGGTTCTTCTTGTAGTTCAGTATGGCCTCAAACTCATTGTAACACAGTTTGGCTTTGAACTCTGATTCTCCTGCCTTGGTCTTCAAGTATTAAGATTATAGGTGTCTAAGTAGGCTAAGTCGGGGATTCGAGATGAAGAATTGTTGATTCAGATTTTATACTTTAATGATGTAATCAGTCATAGAAGGTAATTGGAAATCAGTAAGCAAAGCTGAGGCTGGTGCCACAGCTCTGTAATCTCCACTACTTGGAGGTCAGAGGGCAGAGGATGGGAGATTCAAGGGCAGTTTGTGAAACTTTACGGGCTTATCTCAAAATAGTAAAAGGGAGTCGGGAAGGAAATAGCTCAGTGGTAGAGCACTTGGGGCATTGATAGAGAAGTCCTAGGTTTAATCCCCATTATTACTACTACCAAAAATGTTGGGAATAAGGAAAGAAAAAAAGGTGGTTCTTTTTGATAGTGGGTGAAGAATTACAGACAAAAATCGGTATGTTGCTTTAAGTTGAAAATTTTACATATATGTAACATCTGATAAAATATTTGTTAGAAGTGAAAAGAGCTTTTTTTAGTTTAGTTTAGTTTTTTTTTTTAAATATATATAGAGTCTCATTCTGTTGCCTGGCCTGGAACTTACTCTGCAGCTCATGCTGGCCTGGCATTTGTGATAGTACTATTGCTTCAGCTTCCTAAGTGCTGGGATGGCAGGCATGACCACCAAGCTTAGGTGGAAATTAATGGTTTCCTTAGTGTCCCTTTTCTCATACTATGCTTGAGAAATAGTATTGCACTCACTGGAAGATGGGAGTAATTAGTAATAAGTGCTACTGTGCTACAAGTATTTTTTAATACTCATTTAATTCTCACAGCCACAATAAAGGTGGAGGATATCCTCCTTGGCATTTGTTTTGCACATTTTTTGAGATGCTTCTATTTGCCAGGCATTAGGGATTTGGTGATGTGCTCCCCCCCACTTCATAGTGATGAGATGAAGAGATACATGAAGAGCAGGTACTTTGTTCAGTAACTTGTCCCAGGTCACAGGGATAATAAGAACTGGATTAAATATTAAAGTCTTCTGAAGCCCCTGATTTAAAGGACACTAAACCATTCTCTCAGTAGCATGTCTGACTTTGAAATTTTTTATTCTTACAGTGATCTAGCAGCTTGCACACCCAAGAGCTGTGTGTGCAATGGAGAAGCTAATGGAGAAGACTAAGTGTCTTTGAGGCAAGAGGATCGTAGGAGATGCTGACTTGAGGCTTTTGGGGGCCTAAGCTAGGCTTTTATGTGGGAGGAGATTCTGCCTTGAAACTGTCTTGGGGCCCCAGGGTGTGTGCTTTGAGACAGTTTTTATGAGGCACCTGGGATATGTCTGGGAGGAAAGTCTGATTAAAGAAATGTAGCAGACTTTTATGTTTGGTGATTTTGTGTGTGTTATGGGGGGCATTTATTGGAGCTGAGGAGTCAACTGAAGTGGCCACTTTGAAAATTTTTCTCTTGGGATGTGCAGATAATTAAGTCAAGAGATTGCAAATCACATGTAAGAGAATACACTTGAAAGTACTCTGTTAATTATAAGTTGAACTGCAGATGCAAAAATATTACTAAGAAGACAACAGCTTGTTACATTTAGTATCTAGAAAAGCTGACATTTCAGAACACCTTTACCAGTGAAAAATAGTTCAGAACTGCTGAACTGAGTATTTCTGACTCAGAACAGAAGTCAGACTACTCCCTCCATGAGTCAGTCAAGTAATATTTAATTTGATTGAACCAAGTTTATAGGCAGAAACCATTTACAACATCACTGAACTTTGGTGGCATTAGGGAAGGAAGAGTGAATGAATGCTTCTGCATGTTGTTTTTTATTTTGGCTTTTTCAAGACAGGGTTTCTGTTTAACAGCTCTGGCTATCTTGGAACTGCTTGTAGACAAGGCCTTGAACTCAAAGAGATCGCCTGCCTCTGCTGGGATTATATGCCATCATTGCCTAGCCTGCCTGTTTTTTAAAGTCAAAAGTTTCATGTGTGTATTTATATACTTGTTGAAAATCGAGCTGAGTAAATTGTATTTCTTTTTTTTCTCTTTTTTTTTTTGTTTTTTTTTTTTGTTTTTTTTTTTTGTTTTTTCGAGA